ATATATATATATATATATATATATATATATATATATATATATAAATTAGCCAAGCATGGTGGCAGGCCCCTATGATCCCAGCTACTGGGGAGACTGAGGCAGGAAAATCACTTGAACCTGGGAGGCGGAGGTTGCAGCAAGCCGAGATCGGGCCACTGCACTCCTGCCTGGGCATCAGGGTGAGACCCTGTCTCAAAAAAATAAAAAATAAAAAATAAAAAAACAAACTCCTCTTTGTGCCCTTGTTCCAACCCTTGGAGCACTGATACTGTCTGGGGCTCCAGGAGTAACACTGATGCTGTAGAGACATCTAGAACAAACCCCACCTCCTTATTTGTTTTCTATATTGACAACCAATTTTGTGTGGGCACAGAGGGAGAAGGTGCTGGCCTCCAGTTCTTCCATCTCAGCGGCTCCAGCACATACCAGCAGGGTTTCTTCCCTCATACCAATAGGGGCGGCTCTGGCCAAGGACAGGAACATGTCAGGAGACGTGGGAAGAAGACAGAAGGTGACGGCAACATTGCAGTGAGCTGACGAGGTTAAGCAGCGGGCATGACGAGAGGATGACACAACTTCCCCTTTGCCAAAGGAAGGGGATCCCCTGCCCTGAGGTCAAGCACCTGGGCTGCCACACGGGCTGCAGCTCCTTCTGCCCTGCCTCCCAATGTGCCCTCCAAATGGCCCAGCCCTCTTGAGGGGTACTGCCCAGTGCAGCCTGCAGCTTGGTGGAGACACATGCTAGCCCATGGCTGGCTGGCTCCGGAGAAGAGAGAAGAATCTTTTCATGCCCGCCACCTCCATCCCCTCCCCTATTTCCCAGCATTCCTCTGGCAGACAGGCTGGCCCATCACCACGCGCCCCTCCTCTAACCCCAATCACCTCTCTCTCTATTCTGTAATTCTATTTGGCCATTGACCTCTGGGGATTGCTGGGATCTAAGTCCAACCTCTGTGACCTTTGGCCAAGATTTGCCATGTAGTTGGCCATGTGACCATGGCCCAGCCTCCCTGAGAGGAGAGAGACATACACCTGTCTGAAGGGGCACCTAGCCATGTGGCATGGTGGGTCAGGCAGGCCGGGAGCTTCTGGGGAAGGAAGAGGGAAAGGAATGGCAGAGGGCAAGCTAGGGCTTTTGTGTCCTGAAATCTGCTCTGGAAGCTTTCATAGGGCTGCCCCATAGGACTTTAAAATTCTAAATATGATCCCTGAAAGGCCTATCAGACAGACAAACTCAGCGTCCTAATGTTTAAATTGGCATTTGAGGGCTGAGTGTGGAGAAATAAGCATCTCGTGGTTTGAGAGGGGAGGGAGAATGGGTGTGTCTGGCCTCCTGTCTGGAATCAGGACCACCTAAGGGTTTTAATCAGCACCTGCCCACAGCGCCTGTGGCCACGCCGGGGTGTGTATGGACTTGACGTAGCTCTGCTCTGCTACTCAATAGAAGTGCAAACTTGGGCAAGATCCTCTCTCAGCCTCAGTTTCATTATTTATAGTTAAACATATTAGATTCTGATAGCTCTTACTCAGGCTTCCCCTCAGAATTACTTGGAGAATATAACATATTATATACCAAGACCAGGCCTCACCCAGAGAATTATTGGTGGGCAGATGGGCAGAGACATTCAAATGCTTTTCAATCTCTCTAGGTGATTCTAATGTACAGCCAGGGTTGAGAAGCACTGAAGCCTCCTCCAGCTCTGGGATGCTGTACCCTCAGGGTACAGTGGTATAGGACCGTTGTTAAAAGCCTAGACTTGAGAGGGAGAGATGAAGGCCCAAGCCCTTGTGCTGCACTCACTATCTGTAAGACTTTGGACAACTCATTTAATCTCCCATAGCCCCATTCCCGCAGTGGGAATAATGACAAATCTACCTTGCGGATCCTGTGAAGATTAAAGGAAACAAGCATAATTCTCAGCAAAGCGTCTGGCTAGGGGCATGCTCTACAAAGGGTGTCTGATCCCAAGTGTGCATCATACAGGTACTGGGGGCTATCATCAGCAGTCTTTGCAGCTGCTAACACAAAGCAACTGACACTCCCATCCAGACGGCTCATAAGTCACTCACTGGGCAATGAGCAGGCTTCCGTCGCTCCTCTCCTCCTCCTTCGGGGAAGCCCAAGGCCCCAAACTGAAAATCTGTGCTTTGCCCATTCCACCCTATTCCTTAGGAGTGGTATACTCCACAGTAGCCATGATCTGGACCAGAAAGAAAAGAAGACACTCAGGGGGACCAGTCAGAGCTAAGCTCCTGGGAGTAGGAGGATGCTTCCAGGCTGCTGGATAAGGAAAGGCAAGGGTGTAACGCGCAGCGGTAGTGTTTACAAACATGGAGGACAGAGGACAGAGGAGCAAGTATCAGCTAATAGACTTACTGTTTTATGGCCTTCAAGAGTTAGCAATATCAGATTCCAACATCTGATTTAAAAAAAAGAGAAGAAGAAGAAAGGAGTCAAAGCTAGTCTGGACAGTAGGTTTGCAACTTAACTCAGGATAATCACCAGGAAGTTTGAAGGCAGTAGAGAAAAGGTACGTCTTCTCTCAGGGCCTCTGCCTCCACCTATCGAGAACTGTCCCCCTTCTGATCTAAGTATTGATTTTAAAAATGTGTATAGGCCGGGCGTGGTGGCTCACGCCTGTAATCCAAGCACTTTGAAGGCCAAGGCGGGCGGATCACCTGAGGTCAGGAGTTCAAGAATAGCCTGACCAACATGGTGAAACTCCGTCTTTATATTAAAAAAAAAAAAAAGTTTATAACTTTGGAAAATGTTTAGGAGGTACTGCTAACTGGCAGAAAAACAGGAAACAAATTCACCCAAAATCTACTTAACTCCAAAGAAAAAAGTACTCAGAAAATAGATAAAATGTTAACATTTCTTGTCTCTTTCTATTTCTCCGTGTGCTCCCTTATTCCACAAAGAGTGTATTTTATTAGAATAATCAGTGCCAATAAGATAAAAAGATTTAGAGTGAGAAGAGTAAGTCTCGTTCACTACAAGTGGTCTTTGATTAGTGACTCCTCCCTGCTCACTCCTTGACCTGAATGCCCTTCCACTAAACCCACGGACTGCCTGAGAGTATGCTGTGTATGTTTTCTGAATCATTGCAGATTTTGCAAGATCGGGTTTTCCGTTTTTAAGAAGTACTGCTTCTTGAGGCAGGATTTGTTACGCCAAGAGAGCACTTAGCACAGTTCCTCAATAAATGTTGTAGGGGGAAGGAAAGAGACAGGGAGGGAGGGAGGACTGCAAACAGGAGTAACTACCGGCACCTCATCTGCTTCCTAACTGCTTGTATGTACTGGGACAAACCAGAAAGAAAGAACTGGAGACAATTCTCACTTTGTCTATATTTTGGGAGAAAGAAGTAAGGATAACTAAAATTACTACTCTTGTCCAAATTTGCATCTCCCATGGATATCTCCCAAGGTAATGCCTGATTTTGATTTTTCCCATTGCTCACTCAGAACTCTGTACACCCAGCAGCTCATATTGTTCAAATATAAATGTGTATATATGTCCAAGATTGTGATGTTACATCTCTATGCCATATTTGTACACTCTCTCCAACAACAACAACAACAACAACAAAAACATGGCTCCCTGCAGCTAGCATTGCCAAATAAAAGAATCCCAGTTAAATTCAGATCTCGGAATACTTTGTTGGCATAAGTAGGCTCGAAATATTGCATAGGGAATACTTATACTAGAATATGTGTTGTTTATCGAAAATTTTACTGGGATTTCTGTCTTTTTATTTGCTAAATCTGGCAACCTCACTTGCAGTAGGTTATTTATCCAGTTCTATGACTTCCAGATTCTTTCCTAACCTGGTCACCTTCCTCTAGAAGGTCCACCCTCTGTTAGTAATCTTCCAAAATGTAACAGTTAGAAATAAGCACAGGTGCCCTGGGTTGCAGATTCCTTGACATCATGGTGGCATCCTCCTGGGCAAGGGTCCCTTTGTCAAAGGCCATTCCAGGTGAAGGACTGAGAACTGAACCAGCAGTGCAGAGAGGGGCCTGCCCCTCTGTCACTGGGAGAATCCACATTGGCTTCTTGAGCATTAGAGATTGTATTTACCCCTTTGTTTAAGTACTATTCCAGAAAGAAATATCCTGTATTTTTCTGAGAACAGAAGGAAACGAAGTATTTTTCCAACTCTTCTTATGAACCGGGCTCCATGCTAAGAAGTGTATATACGATATCTTGTTTAGGCTTTCCTGCAGTCCTTTAAGATGACTCTTTGAGGAAGATATCATACTCCCCTTTCTACAGCTTCAGCATTAAGTAGCTGGCACAAGATCAGAGAGCTGCTGCTTTAGGATACGCTTTGCTACAGTAATAACCACCAAATCTCAGCAGCTTAATATAACAAATGTTTATTTGTGGCTCACACAAGGAAACATGCAAGATGATGGTGAAAAGAGGGATCCTCTGTTGCACACAGTCACTTAGGCACTTCTGCCATCTTGTAACTGCACCAACCAGCACACACGGCCTTATAGGTCATGGCAGCAAGGTTAGAGAAGGCCCAGAGGATCTCTCTCCACTTACTGCACACTTGAGCTCTGAAACAACACAATTAGTTTGGCTTACAACTCATTGAGGAGAACTACTCACAGGGGTCCTAGGTAATTTTCCTGTGTGCCCAGAAGAGGAAAACAAAGCAGGACATGCTAAACACATAGCATTGTCCACCACAACTAGTATATGGTGAAACCAGAATTCAATAGCGGGTTTTCTTTGTTTTTTGAGAAGGAGTCTCGCACTGTTGCCTGGGCTGGAGTACGTAGGTGACATCTCAGCTCACTGCAGCCTCTGCTTCCTAGGTTCAAGCGATTCTCCTGCATCAGCCTCCTGAGTAGCTGGTATTACAGGTGCTCACCACAAGGCCCGGCTAATTTTTTTGTAGTTTTAGTAGACCAGGGTTTCACTGTGTTGGCCAGCCTGGTCTCGAACCCCTGACCTCGTGATCTGCTCGACTCCGGCTCCTAAAGTGCTGGACAACAGGCATGAGCCACTGCACCTGGCCTCAATAGCATATTTTTAAGTTTCCAAAGTCCGTGTTCTTTCTACTACATTTGGCTTATGAAGATTGAGGGAATCTACTTTTCACCAAAAGGAAATGTCATATGGAACAATTTACCAGAAAACAAAATCTCAAGGAAACTGGTAGGAAAGTCTGCTGTGGTGAATATTCTAGATTTGCAAAACCTAGAACATGACAAGAATGCTTCCCTGAAAAACCTTTAAAACATAGACGAGATTTCTGCAAATTAAAGCCAGAGGATAAATAATTATGAGACATGTATGCCACCTCTTCAGTCTCTTAAAGAAACACCATTGGAAGTGGGAGGAAATAAAGGAGAAGATTCTGGTCTGTTGCAGGATGAGTGATGATTCTGGTTTGCTCACGACTCTTGGCGTTTGAGCTCTGAAAGTACATCCCAGGAAACCCTTTAGTCCCAGGTAAAGTGGAACACTTGATCACTCTGGACAGCAATACCTTTCCTCCAAGTTTTTGAAAATGTTACCTCAGGTGGCTCAGTAAACTCTGCATGAAGATGCACAATGACCTGAGAAAGTCACGTTTGCTCCAAGTCCAGGAGAAACTTGATAGAAACATCACATGGGAATAGCAGTTCCATCCAGGGACTTGGAGAAGAAAAATAATATTGTCAATACAGGTATTGATCGACTTACGACCTATGCAACTTACGACCATTCGACTTTACGACCACAATCGCTAGCCACGACTGCTCCACGTCTGGCAGCGCAAACGTTGCCCAGCTGGGCGTACGACAGTGCGGACCAGCTTCCGGCAGCACTACCATCTCCACATGCACCATTTCAACTGTACATAGAGCCTACTCAACTTACGACCAAATCGTGTTACGACCGTCCTGCGGTCCCGACCGTGGTCATAAGTCAAGCACTATCTGTATGGCTTTTGTGCAGGAGACCCTACTCCACTGCTGCAGCCTGACGTACAGGAAGCTTCTCCCAACCAAATCACACCTCAGACCCATACTGAGCTTGTAGAAACTTCAGTAACTCTGTCTTTCTCAAGCCAAATACTGTTAAAACAGGTTGTCCCCTCTTGAACTGGTACCATTCCTAAGAGATACGTGAGCACACGCACACACAGGCATAGACATACCTTGGCACTTTTTCCTGCTGCATTTCATCTTGTGAGTTTTGGCTTGTGCCCCATTTGCTAGGTGTTGGATTTGGTATGGACTTTATCCTGCACATCCTCCGTCATCTCCAGGTTAAAGTCCAGAGTCTTCCGCCGGGCACTAAGGGCCAGCTGAAAAAGTTGCATTTTAGGCCCTAACTCACACAACCCCTTTCACAGACATGCTTTGATTTAGTAATCTGCTCCCTCAACCACACTTAGGGTTGATTCATCCAACTCTGCCTGTCTACACGGCCCTCTCCACCTCCTGTATACTTGGCAAGATCCTAAATCCAAGGCTCAGATCAGATTCCTGTATCAGCAGTGGCTTCTCTGGCATTCTCTGTAAATTCTTCCCAAACTCTGGCAAGTGGACCTGACCTCTGCAACTCCACCAGCAATCAGCTCCATTCTGTTCTGTCAATCTCTTTTCTAAATATCTCAAATTTGCACACTTAGGCTTGTTCAATGTTAATTATTTTGTGATTTGTCTCCAAACATTGATTATAAAAATCCTTGAAGTCAAGGAGAATGCTTGAGTTCGTAGCCCAGTGTTTGCACATAATAGGTGCTCAATAAGCAGATAATTATTTCTTAGTAGGAACTCTTGAGACAAGAAAAAAACATATATAAAAAGTGCTTGAAGAATATGATTCCATGAATATCACCCCATAACTCTCTCTTGAGACAACTTGGAAAGAAAATCATTGAGAAAAAAAAAATTCCCCTAAAAATTGGAATCTGAGAAAATTCATGATGAACTGATCCATGCATCAGAATTCCAACCCTAAGCAGCCTTGAGTTATGTGCCAATTTCCTACTCTATCCACCCTAGCTGTTACTTACAAATAGAAAGAACCAACCTGGTTGTACTTTTGGTACTTGAAACTAAAATCGTCCTGGGATCAGGCCATAAATTCTAGGCAATCGAGCCTTTAAGATCCAGCTTTTAGAACATTGAGAATGAAAGAGGTAAATGTGGGTTTAGGAAAGAGAAGGGCACAGATGGGCAGAGGGTCTTAGGAATCAAGTATCCCTAAACATGTTTTAAGAATTCTGTATCACTCCCAAAGAATTAGGGAACATGTGTATCAGAAAGGTTTATCACTTGCTGCCTATTCCTGTGCTGCCAATAATCATGTGTCCAACTGTTAGCTTCCAACCCATTCCAACCCTTGGCCAATGGGTACCAAAGCCAACATGCTGAGAAGCTCCTTTCTACAACCAAATGGGGGTCTAGGAATGTTTGTTTCTCTAAGTCCATTGCCTGGGCATCAAGAGTATCCCAAGAGCTGACAGGAGTATTGAGGGTCAGATTCTCTCACCAACAGCCCTTCTGTGTATCCAAACTTCTGCTTTTCTGGCTTTTCTGCCTAGATCTTTGACAGTGTCTTTTATTCTTTTAGTTGTTCTGAGAGTCTGAATCTCCTATCTGAATCCTCCTTAGCAAATCAGTCTGCATATTGCATATTGCATACTGATCCTCTTCCACCCCCAGCTTCTTTCTGGTACTCACTCTCAGGGCCTGGACTTTTCTTCTAGTTTTCCTCATCATATTTCAGCAGACCCTTCTGACTTACAACCTAGAAACACAAAAAAACCCAGAACCATTCATTCATTCAACAAATATTTACTGAGTGCCCACCCAATGCCAGGAACCCAGCAACACAGTAGTAAACAAGTCAGACACAATCATTATCCAGAGGAAGTCTACTGTGTCATGGGACACAGACATTAAACACATAATTACTAAATAATTTATTAATTTTGCAACTGGAATACCCTCGACTTCCTTAGCCATCCAAGAGTCAGTCTTTCCTCTATTACCCAAATAACAGAAATTCTGAGAATTCTAAGGTTAGGTGCTGAAGTACAAATCCATTCTAGTTTTTACTGCCCCAAAACCCTTCTAGCCTTCTGAGCACCATTTCCCTATGCTGCCCCCAATCTCTCTTGCCTATCTTGGCCCTCAAAGCAAAGCACAAACCCGTGGTCTTTCCTCCATTTTCCAAAGAACAAAACACATACTTGTTGAGTTTAAGAAACTTTACTGAAAGTTCGGAGAAAGTAAAGGGAAATTACTACCTACAAATAAATATTAGCTCTTGTCACATCCAGAATCCATGCAACATCCTAGCATGTTCTTTCTGCCATCTTCCGAGCTCTGAGACTTCACCAGGTTGCTGAGGCTATGGCCCTCATGAGAGTCTTCTCTTTTTATGAATTCACTTCTCCCTTCCCGCACCATGAAGAAAGCGTCTTAAAAGGTAAAAACCCAAACGAGTCTATCTGCCTTGGCATTGATTGACTCTGTGCTGCTTGCCATCCATGAGCCCTCGTTCATTCATTCATTCATTCATTCAGGAAATATACATCAAGCACTTACTTTGTATCATGCATCGCACTAGGTGAGAAGGTTATAGCAACAAATAAGACAGACAAGACCCTCCTTCATAAAGAAGACAAACAATAAGCTAGTAAACTAAAAGCTAAATCTGACAATTACATATTTTAGTGTATTTCTACGAAATATGAGAAAACCAGAATGATGTGATAGATGGGTCTCAGGAAGGGGGAATGCCACTTTAGAAAGGATGGATAAGAGAAGTTCCTCTGAGAGGGTGACATTTGGGATGAGCCCAAAAGATTTAGATCTAGATTTCCCAAAACAAGCAAAGCATGTATTTAAGGTAGAATGTAAGAATATATTTAAGCATATATTTAAGGTATATGTAAGGTAGAAGCACCAAAATTTCTTTAGAAAATTATTATTTTTGACACATCAAAAAGACATGGAAATAGACCCCTTAGGAAAATTAGAATACTGTAGGCCCCTCCTTATACATATTTGAAACTGTAATATTGTGTTTATTTTTATTTAATGGGCAGTATAGAGGACCCTTAATCTTCCCAGGGTTTACGACCTCTAAGGTCATACTCAGTTCTCAAACATGCCAGGAATGGGTGTTCTAGGCAGAGAAGGAACAAGCACAAATATCTGTTGGCAGCAAAGAGCTTGGCCTCTTCTAGGAGCAGGAAGAAGGGGTGAAAACAGCATGAGCAAGGTTGGGGGTTAAAGCTAGGGTCGGGGGAGAAGACAGGCCAGGTCACATAGAAGAAATGGTTCTCAACTCTGGTTGTGTATGAAAAGTCCTTGGAATATTCGAAAACTTTGTGATGCCTGTGCCCTACTTCAAGAGACTTAACTGACCTGGAATAGGGTTGAGGAATTGTTTTTTTTTTTTTTAAGTTTATCAAGTGATTCTAACACATAACCAGAGGAAAAAACAAAAACAAAACCACCATTGACCATGGGGCCTTGGAACCAGCCAGAGGGACAGAGTGTTGAATGGTGAAGAACATGGACCCTGGGAGCCAGACTATCTGGTTTCGAGTCCCATCCCCACCACTGACTAGCTGTTTGATTTCCAGACACCTTGTGAAAACTTTCTGTTTCTGTTTCCTCATCTATAAATATAGGAATAATAGTTTACCTACCGCATAGAGTTGTTTGTAGGCTTAGTAAGTTAATACATACAAAGGTCTCAGAAGGCATACTCTAAGGATGCAATAACATTTACTATAAAGCTGTGACTATCCTATGCTCTCCTAGAGATGGAAAGAAGTGGATGGAGTCAAACTCTCAATCTGATAGAACTAATAGGACTTGCTGAAAAACTGGAAGAGGGAGATTGGGGGGTGGGGGGAAAGGGAATAAAAGAGAGCTTCCATGTTTGGGGTTTTAGCTATTGGGTGGAAAGTGATGCCATTTCCCAAGATGGGGAAAGCTAGGAGAAACAAGTTTTAAAGACAAAAATCAAGAATTTCATTTTGGCATGCATTAACTTAAAGAGACCTTATTAGATATCCAAGAAGAGACAGAAATCAGACAATATTTAAGCCTGGAGCTCATGAGACAAACAAATTTCAGAGTCATTAGCATACAGAGCTGTCCTGTCTGATACAGTAGCCACCAACCACACATAGGGGGTCATTTAAATTTAGATTAATTAAACAAAATTAAAAATTTAGGTCACCATTTTTGCCACATTTCAAGTGCTTAAGAGCCTCATGTAGCTAGTGGCCACCAGACTGATCAGCACAGATATGCCACATTTCCATTGCTGCAGAAAATTCTGTAGGGAACACTGAAGGAGTCTCAAACCATGGAACTGTAGGAAGTCATCTAGGAAGTGGTCCATGATTCTGGCTACACTCTAAAATCATCCCAGGAATTCAGAGTTGATTCATCTTGGGGCAGTCCCAGGCATTGGTAGTTGTTAATAACCCAGGATGATTTCAAAATGGAGCGAGAATTGAGAACCGCTGACCCAGGGAAATAATGCAGGAGAAGAAAGGAATCATGGGAGGGCCTGAATTGCTTTAACAGTATGGGCAATGACTCCAGAACTAATCTTTCTCTAGAGCTCCTGATTCATGATTCACATCTAACTATCTGATGAACATCTTTGCCTGCATGTCCCACAGACAGCCCAAAATCAATAAATCCAAAATGGCACTCATTTTTCTCACCAGAGGTGTTCTTCCCCTTCTCATTCCCAAACTTGGAAGTCACCCCAGACTCCTTCCTCTTCCACAGCACAAGTTCTGCCAGGTTTTCTGATTTATCACTTGATCTGTCTCTTTCTCGCCCCATGACCTCTGTTTTGGCCCAGTTCTTCATGATCTCCCGCCTGAACTACTGTAACAGTGTCTCACTAGCTTGCTCTAGTTTGCCCCTCCCTTATCCATCCAGCAGTCGGCCACAGTGATCTCTTAAAATGCCAATCTTGTAGTGTTTTTCTGTGTAAAATGTATTGGTGTTTCTCATTGCCTATAGGACACAGTTCAATCGAAGACAGATTGCCCGCTCTGTATCAAACACCTTGACGGAACTATGCACTGCACTGGTTCTGAGAACACTGTACTGAGTACGACAGAGAGGGCTTCCGAATAGAACCTGTAAACCCTCAAGGCTCCCAGCACAGTCTGCAATGGAGACAGACAACAGAGTTATGGAAGGGAAAGCAAGGTGGCCATGGGAGCAGGCAGCGAGGGGAGCTGGCCTTATCTGGGTGAGAGGGAATGTGTTCCCTGAGGAAATGAGAGAACAGTGACACTTGGAGGATGAGTAAGGGTTCACCAGACCACAGGGGATGAAGAAAGTGTTCCCTCCACATGGAAAGAACTACATGGGGAAGGACCTGCAGCTGCAAAGGACGGAACAGTGTGACTGGCACCCAAAGAGTGAGAGTTGAGGGATATGGGATGAAGCTGGAGAAACAGACAAGGACAGGATGGTGGGCGGCTTCTAGGCCATGAGAAGCATCTGGGGCATTCCAAAGGGAAAAGTGGGGATGTACTGAAGGATTTTATTTTATTTTTTTATTCCACTAACTTTTTTGCTGACCACTGAAGGATTTTAAAGAGAAGAGTGACATGACCAAGTTTGCACTTTTTAAAAAGACTACACTGGATTGAAGTGGACTAGAGTGGTCAAAACCTGAGGCAGAGAGACCAGCTGTGGGACCACACCAAATGGTCAGGGGCAGGCAAGGAGAGCTTAGAGTAGGAGGGTGGCAGAGGAGATAGACAGCAGATTGAATTAACAGATATTTAAGAGGTAGAATGATAAGTCTTGGTGATTTTTCACATTGGAGAGGTGATGGAGAGCAAGAAGGAAAAGATGGCTCCTTGACTTCAAACCTGAGCTACTGGGTGAATGGCGAAGCTTAGGTTAAGAAAGGTGGTTACAAGTTTATGGGGTATAAATACTGAATTTGGCTTTAGACACAGTAATTCTGATACCTTGTAAAACATCCAAGTCAAAATGTCGAATAGGCAGAGGGATACACAGGCCTAGAGCTTAGATTTGTATGTTATCTGTGTAGAAGCAGCAATGGAAGCACTACCAGTAAATTAAATCACTGAAGAGAGCATGTAGAATAAGAAAAGGGGCTCCAGGACTGAGTCCTCAGAAATGCTAACATTTGTAGGTTAAATAAAAAGGCAAGGTGAGATTAAAAAAAAAAAAAAAAATGCCGAGATTTGTCCAGAATAGGGTAAGAGGAAAACCAGCAGAATATGGCATCATGGAAGCCAAGGAGAAATGTGTTTTTAGAAGAAGGGAGTGGTCACCAGTTCCTAGGCATGACATGAGTTTAAGCTCATTATCTGGCTCCTACTTACGGCTTCCTGCTCATTTTTTTGCCATTTCCCAAAGTCCGTTCTTTACAATTTAACACCAATCTTGTCTAACTTCTCTTAGACCATGTGATGCTTTATCCCAGCTCATTCAAGCACTCCCTACAGCCTGAACACCACCATGTCCCAGAACCACCTAGTGAACACCACCCATCCTTTAACATCTTAAGCCTCTTGGGAATCATTTGCCTTTAGGCCTTCTTTGACCATCTCTTCCCCACATTGAATCAATACCTGTCTCATTCTGTTCTCTTTGTTCATCTGGTATAAATTTCTGTTATGGTACTTATCCCAGTATATGGTAATAACTCATTGTTATTACAGTCTGTGTCCTCTACTTCACTATAAGCTTGAGAGCAAATGCAGT